CAATCACAGAGGGCAGAGTAGAGCCAATCCCAGCACACCGCAATCACAGAGGGCAGAGTAGAGCCAATCCCAGCACACCGCAATCACAGAGGGCAGAGTAGAGCCAATCCCGGCGCACCACAATCACAGAGGGCAGAGTAGAACTGTCCCTGTGAGTTTCTGAGACTGTAACTCTTTACGGGAGTAAAAAGGCTCATCTTTTTCCTGCAGGGCAGCTGGTGGTTGCAAACTGCTGACCATGCAGTTAGCAGCCCAACACATAACACACGATATCCCCAGAGCTCTCTGATTTTATCATAAATCTCCATTACTCCCAGTTCCCATCTATCAAAGGCTAACACATATTAACTAGCTATGAAGCAGGGACATCACTGCAGATGACAGAGGGGTCTCAGCTGAAGGCAGAGGACACTAGAAAGATGTGTCCTTGTGTTTTATTGACCATGCAAAGGCAATGGACTGTGTGGACTGTAACAAATTATGGATAGCCTTGAGAAGAATGAGAATTCCAGACCATTTCGTTGTGCTCCTACAGACCGTGTGCATGGATCCTGAGGCAGCTGTGCAAACAGAGTAAGGGACACTGCATGGTTTAACATGAGGAAAGGTGTGCCCCAGGGCTGTATACTTCGGCCATCCTTATCCAATCTGTGTGCCGAGCAAATCATCTGAAGCCTGGCTTCTATGAAGAAGAATGTGCGTCAGGGTGAGGAAGACTCATTGACAACCCGCAACATGCAGATGACACAAAGCCTGGCCTGGTCAAGTGAGGAGGACTTGCAGCACTTGCTGAAGCAGATCAAGGATTGCAGCCTTTAGTGTGGATTACAAGTCAGTGTAAAGAAAACCGAAATCCTCCTAGCCAGACCAAACGGTAACGTGATGATAAAAGTGGAGGAAAGACCGAAGGGGTGAAAGGTTTCCTCTTGCTGGGATCCGCAGATAATGCTTATGGAAGCGGCACTTAAGAGATCAAACGGCACATCACGTTGGGCAAATCCTCTGCACGAAACCGCTTTGAAATATTGAAAAGCAAAGAAAGAAAGAAAGAAAGATTGAAAAGCAAAGATGTTATGGCAGGGGCCAGACCAAATCCAGGGATACATATGGTAGCCAACTAAAAAGGAGGTGGCGGGGGTGCGTGGGGGTGGGGGAGAAATGGGTAGCTGGGGCACAGGGCACTAACCCACTCAAGGGGAGAGTATTGTTTATATCTCCACAGGGAAAGAGGGACCAGACTTCAACCTGGCGCTCCAAGATGTGAATGCAACATGCCAACATGGAGTTGGGAACCAGTGGAGAGGTCTGAGGGGCCGGCCCCAATCCCAGCTACGTGAACACCTGCCCCTCCCCCCAGAAGAATTTATTTCAGAGGATGGCACTGAATCTGCAGCACTGAATCCGGGAGAGGGACAT